GACCGACCTTGGGCTGCAGGGAGCTGGTAGGGGGCTCCGGGTGGGTGGAGGGAGCTTGCTGGGCACTTAGCATGGAGTCTGTGGGGAGCGAGGGAAACCAGAGCAAAGCGCCTAGATGCCCAGACTCAGCACGTCACCAAGGTGCTGGCCGGCCTTGCCGCAGGACACCTCCATCACGCCCATGGCCATCCCCAGCAAGTCCCTGGGTGCTCAGTTAGGGGCTGAATGTCCATGCTCCTGCAAAGACCCACCAACTCAGGGCAGCTGGCAATGGCCTGGTGCCGCTGCATTGCAGGGGACTGGGTTTAAAGGTCAGGCCCAGCCCCACGTGGCCTCACTCTGCTCTGCCCCCAGGGCACGGGCATGGCATGGTTCCTCTGCGGGAGGTTACCCCGGCTTACACTCTGCTGCGAGGACTGGGTCCCCCACGCACAACAGTGGTCCACATTAGGCGCTATTACAGGGCTTGGCCACTAGGTGGCAGGGGAGCTGCTTTGCATTGTGGGCTACTGGCGGATGGAGCAGATGAAGATCTCAGGCCTACCCAAGTGCTGTGCGTCCAGGGTCTGCTCCACCCTCCCTCTGGAGGAGACTGAGCTCTCGGTATTAGATGTGCTGTGTGTCTGCACCAAGGAGGGACCTCGGAGTGAATTTCTCCCTCTGTCCTGGGGGCTTGCACAGCCCCTGTGCCAGGCCATCTGAGTGCCTCGCCCTCTAAAGCATGGGGGGCACAAGTGGCGTGGGCAGCCTGTGTACATGATGCATGGCAGATTGGGGAGGGAACAGGCAGCTCAATGACAGATTGGGCAGGGAGCAGCTAGCAGAGCTGCAGATCAGGCCAGGAACACATGGGGAGTAGAAAGCAGAGCAGCAGGTTGAGCAAGGAGCAGAAAGCAGAGCAGGCGGTGGGGGCGCAGCAGGGAGCAGAAGGCCGATCAGCAGAGTGGGCAGGGAGCAGAAAGCAGAGCAGAAAGTTAGGCAGAGAGCATAAGGCTGGGAGCAGAAAGCAGGACAGCAGATCTGGCAGGGGAAGGGGGTTTGGAGTGGCACTTGGGGAGGGCATGGTGTTTAAGCAGTACTCCCTGCCCGGCTCTCGGGCCCCAGGTCTCCCTGAGGTGTGAACGGCGGTGCGGAAAGAACCCCGGGGCAGGGGTGGGGTAGCCTGGGGTAGATGATGGGCCCTGAGTGGATATTAAAAGAGATTTTCCGCCCCCACCTCCACCCGGTTTCTGTTGCAGCCGGTCTGGCGTTCGACCTCAACGAGCCGTCAGCCGATGTCTCCTCCGCCTGGGCTCAGCACGTCACCAAGATGGTGGCCCGACGAGGTGCCATCTTGCCGCAGGACATCTCCATCACGCCCATGGCCACCCCTGGCAAGTCCTTGGGAGTGTGCGATGGGGTGGGCAGAGGTGCTAGGGTAGCAGCATGTTGGATGCAAGCACCAGAGATTCCCCACCAAAGCCACATGCTAGGCCCTGCGTGAACCCACGCTGGGTGCCAGCCCCTTGACCTGTGCCCTCTGGGAAACCTGGGAAGTCTTGTTCACCCCATAGGGCAGCTGGAAACTGAGGTGGAGGGAGTTGCCCAAAGCCATGAACAGAGTCTGTGGCAGAGCTGGGAACTGACTCCATCCAGGCTGAGGCTGTGGCTATAAGGCCAGCTCCCCTTGTGCTGGGGAACTGGGGGGGACATGAGACCATGGTCATGTCCCTGGCTCTGACCTTCACATGGTCATGGCCTGGGGAGCATCATTTCTCCTCTCTGCACCTCCATTTTCCCTTCTTTAAATGGGTGTCCTTGGGGGACCTGGGATTTGGCCAGGAGCCCAGAACTGAAAAAGCTCTCCATGCTCCCAAGCTTTTAACGAGGCAGACACCCAAGCAGTGATGTTCCCCCCAGCATCTTCCCCGTGTCCGGGCAGGGGCACTCATATCCTGCCACCTGCACTGGCCCAGTAGAAGGCACCAGTCCTCTCCCCTTGCTGGCCAGCTCAACCCCCATGGAGTGGCAGCCACGCTCCACCCCAGAAGCAGCTGCATTTTAACAGCCAGGGCATGATGCCTGTTCTGGGCTGTTCTACAGTCTTGTCTTAGCCCGACATCCAGTGCCCTTTAGCTCCCATTTTAAAGATGGGCAAATAGAGGCCCAGAAAAGAGAAATGACTCTCCCCAGGCCATGTCCAGGCAGGGGGCACCCATAGCTACATGTATTCGTGGGACTGAACATAGTGCGTATGTACTGCGCTTGGCTTGGCCCAGAGGCTTCCCCTGCGTGCTCACATGCTCCCTGTTCCTCTTGCCCCCTCAGTACCACCCGAGGACAGGCCCAACCTGTGGGTGGTGGAGGCCGAGATCTCGCCTGAGCTGGAGCAGCGGAGCAACCGCAGGAAGAAGCGGAGGAAGAAGAAGAAGAAAGATGTCTGCCCGCTGGGGCCTGCACCCCTGCCCTGCGACGGGGGCTGCTGCGCCCCACCAGCCTCCAGCTCCGTCCCGCGCCTGCCCCAGCTCCCGCGCCAGACCTGCCTGGTTGCTGGCCCCCGTGACTCCCGGCTCATCGAGGAGACGCTGCTCCCCAGCTCCTACCCTGCACTGAGACCTAGCTTCTTCCCCCGGGACCACCAGTACCCGGGCATGTTGCACCTCATCAGCAACCCCTTCTGCCCCGAGAGCAGGCCCCAGGAGGAGCTGAACCTGGGGCACAGCAGCATGAGGGGCTGTGTTGCCCCTCAGTCCTGCCTTGGTCCCATGCCATCCTCTGCCTCCAAGCTGGACCCCTATGGGCCGCGGACTCAGGGCCGGCGGTCCACCTTTGCCGCCGGGCACTCCCGGACAAACCTCGTGGATGCAGAGCTGCTGGACGCTGATTCAGACTTTTAGACTCTCCTAACGCAGGAGCCTGGGGTGCGCTGGAGCACTAGGAGTGAGGGCGTAGGAGGAGGATGCCCTGGAAGGGGGCAGAGCTGGCTGGGGATGCTTCCTCTGACCCCAAGTGGGCCCAACCCTCCGCTGCTGTGCAGCCACCTCTGGACACTACCCAGCCACGAGGCTCAGGCCTGGCCCCTGCTGCAGGGAGTTTGCAGCTGTGGGCACTGATCCCTGCGCTTGGGCTGAGCTAGGTGCCACTGGAGAAGTGTTATTTGTTGCTCTGAGTGACCTTGGTCAGTTGGCAGAAGGGATGGGGCGTTGTGGGGGGCCGTAGCCACCTGGGGCAGCGCTGTGCTCCTTAAATGGAGCTGCATCAGGCTCGCCATGATGGGGAGGATTTGGGGACACTCCTGGGGCAGCCCCAGCTTGGACAGGCCTCAGCCATGGCTTTGCAGTCTGAGGACTCTGGGTGAGGGGCACATGGACACATGGGGCCAGGGGCCCTTGCTGAGCAGCTCCAAGGTGCGTGCAAAGCACTCTGTACCCAGTGTCACACAGGGGACCGAGGTGGGTGTCGCAACCAGCCAGGACCAGGGCATGGGGGCGAGAGGGGACTGCCCAGAAAGGAGCAGCCCCATATCCATGCGGCCTGCTCCATTGCAGCCACCCCAGTGCGGTGATGGGCATGGGGCCATCATGTGGCCCCCAGGATGAAGGATATGGCAGCTATACCGGGGAGGGAGGGACTTTATCCCGGGGAGACTGGGCTGGATCCCCTCCCACCAGCCCCCAAAAGGGATGCTCTACATGGCCACAGAGGTGCACAGCATGCTAGGATATGCAGGGAAAGGCCTGCAGGAGGACTCTATGGCCAGGACCCAGCACACGCTGCCTTTTCCTCTGGAGATACCCTTCCTGGCTGGGCAGGGAGCTGAATGCCCACAGGCTCCCAGGCTCCATGCGACAGAGCGGGGAGACGTGCTCCTGTTGCGTTGCTGGGTGTATAGAGCCCAGAAACCACAAGCCGTGCAGCCCAGGCCAGGCCTCTAGCTGGGGGACATCACACCTGGGGCTCCTGGGTTAGGACAGGCCAGCTTGACCTCCATGCTGCAGGGGTAGCTCTGGATTGACACCCAGGACTGGGCAGAGCTGTATAGACAGGATGCACTGGGCTGTTGTTGTTGGTCTCATCACCCAGATCCACAGCGGAGGCATTTTTTGGATCTGTTCCTCCTGTATCCCAGCATGCCAAGCAGGAGAGAGGTGGCTGTGGATTGGATGTCAGTGTCAGCCGAAAGCAGCTGTGCTACCTGTAGAGCCAGCGTCGGCTGCACTGGCTCCTCCCACGTGGAGACGAACCCCCCAGAGACGTAGACCCAGCAGGCGAAACCGTCTCTCCGTTTCTGAACTTTGGCCGGAGAAGCCCACCCGGCTTCTGGTAGTCGCCGTTGACTCGGGAGCGGTGGGATAAATGTGACGTCTGTCACAGAAGAACCCCGCCCCCGCTGCTCAATCTGGAGTTGGTAGGAGGGGCTTAGACTTTGGGCAGGGGCGGGGCCTCGCTGGGGCCCTTCAGTGGGAGGAGCTGCATCTTGGGTTGATCTCCTGGGAGCGTCCCCTCGACTCGGTGGCTCACATAACCAGCTCCAGCTTTTTCCCCAGAACCCGACAGTCCCAAGGGGTTGAAGCCACGCACCCCCCCGGCTCCAGCCCGGGCTGGCAGTGCCCCTAGCCCCACAGGCAGGCTCTTTTCCTGCTGCAAAAGGGTGAAGGGGGCCCCAGAGCTTCAGTCTGCTAGTGTCGGGGAGGATCTGGGGCCCAGGTCTGGTTTGTAGGGAGGGGCCCAACCAAGCCCCTTTCTGTCCGATCTGAGCGCTCCCAGGGTCCTGGGATGGTTGGAGCTGGTTCTGCAGCTCTGGGGTGTGGAGACCACCCCCTCCAGGTGTCTGTCATTCACCTGGCCCCGGGGGTCTCAGCGTGGCCTCTGTGCATGTACAAATGCCAACGTGTGCTTCCAAATAATATCACACGCAGGGAAACATGCTGCTGCCCAGAGCTGGAATTGCGCCAGGACACAGAGGCATGCCGAACTGGACTGGTACCAGCCCATCTCACTCAGCATCACCTCTCTGACCGTGGCCAGTATCAGATGTTTTGGGGGAGAAGTGGCAGTCCTCCCTCAAGCGATCCCTTATGCCGTAACGGGCCCTCAGGTAGAAGGTGCTTCCTAAGCTCCCCTCAGCATTTGGTCACCTGAGCCTTCGTGGAGGAGGGTCGGCGTCCTTGCTAACCTGATTTGTATCTGTGTTCTTTATGCTTATAAATGTCTAGTCTTGTATCGAACTGCACACGGCTCCTGGCTTTAATGGGGTCCTGCTGAGTCCGTTTTGCTGCGCGCAAGGGCAGGGGGGAATCATTTTACCAGTATTGCAGTGTCATGAGCTGCCCCCCTTTAAAATGAGAGAGAGGCCAGAACCTGCTCCTGGAGGAAAGCTTTGTAGCATCTGTCTTACAGGAGACCGAGCGGGTTCAAAGCTCAGAGGTGCAATTCAAACCCCACCCCATGAACAGCCTCTTGTTTTCAGTCTGATGGTTTAAATGGTGCAACGTGCATCTCTGCTAACCCCGGCAGCCATAGACATGATCTTTGTGCCTGGCATGGACCCAGTTCTTTTTAATAAGCAAAGCAGAGGGAACCCCAGAACCAAACTGACTCCAGATTGACATCAGGGATGTGGCAGGGTCTGCGCTGCGGGCAAGGTGAAAGTTTAAACCCAGCCTGAGTTGGATTTAAAAAATTGTATATAAAGGGATGTTGCTCCTAATCATAGAAAATGAGGGTTGAAGGGACCTCGGGAGGTCACATCTGGTCCAACCCCTGCTCCAAGCAGGACCAGCCCCAACTAGATCAATGATTTGAGGAATCATAAATCATCCAAATAAGGAGCTGCTTGATTGCATGACGTGGGGGAACTTCAGGGCTGCGCAGGTTCAATCACCCAAAGAGCTTTCCTCTGGCCTGGTTTCATCCCCCACAAAACACCCTGTGACAGTGATTCTCGACCGTGGCACCCTGGGGTGCTGTGAGATCCTTTGATGGGTATTAGCGCATCTAGATGTGCAAACATCGACACGCGAGTCATGAGATAAACCCAGAGATTCCCAATAGGGGTCCGGAGGGTCACAAACACCCTGTCCCGTCACGGGCTTTCGGAGTTCTTTGCAACAGAGGAATGGCTCTTGCATTTTTCCATCATCAAAAAAGAAGTGTAAGCTCAGAGCAGGTATTTTCTGAGGAAGGCCTTGAGTCTAAAAAGGGTGAGAACCAGTGTCCTACAACCAAGAAATAAACCCATTTCTCTTCCCTTCATTGGTGCCTGGAAAAAAGGGTGATTTGAGATGCACATAAAGGCACGTGACTGGCTGAGGATGATTTGGGCCTGAGCTGGCACTTCTAAAAAACAACCTTTTAAATATGTCCCAATTAAGATTTTTTGGGGGAGGAAAAAACCCAAGAGGGGCCTTCTTGGCTGCCTTGAGACAGTCCACAAGATCTTTGCAGCAAGGGAGAGACTGGCTGGCTGTAGAGGGACCCATGTAAATACCGTATCTTCTCACACATAGCACGCCCCTGAAAAAGATACACATCTTGTTTTTGAAAGCCCAATTAATTAAAAAAGATTTTTCCTTGCTTCAGCAGGAGCCTCTCTCAAGGGGGAGAGAAAGTGTCCACAGCCAGATAGCACCACTTGCAGCACTGCAGTGTTACTCCGTGTTCAGGGCACACTCCCACCCTGTGCCCCTGCTCCCCAGAAAGGCAGAAAGTGTTTTTACCGTATTTCCTCACTGATAACAACCCAGTTTTCCAAAGCTGAATTTTGGGGAAAGGTGTGTGTTGTATGTGAGTGAAAATGGTAGCCGCCAAAGCACAAAGCACCCATCTGCACTGCTACAGCAACTTACTCCCGTCTCTAATTCTGGGAAGACCCAGGCTGCTCTCTCCCTTTCTCCAACCCAGTCCGATGCATGGGAGCGAAGGGGTTGCGACGGACCACAGCTGCTAGCCATGCTTCCCCGACTTGCGGCCAGGGCTGTTCCCTGGGAAGCTACTCTATTTCTTAGCTTGAAGTCGTGCCTTCAGCAGCATTTTCCTCCTGGCTTCTGCAAGGATGGGGACGTCCAGGGAAAGCCTGCGGGTACATGCCGGCCCTGGCATGGGGGGCTGTCTGCCTGGGAAAGGAGGAGGAATAGGAGCACCCAGGGGTGGGGGCACTGGTGTCACTGCGGGGAGGTGGATGCGGTAGCAGCTGCAAGGAGATTTGCTGCGTGGGGGTGAGGGGAGACCAGGGCTGGGATAACGACAGGGGGGCTGCAGGTCAGATGAGCAGTGTCCGTCCATCTGGCAAGGTGGGAATGGGGCGTCCGCTTTGTGGGCGCCAAGTGGGGACTGGGGGAGTGGGCATGGTGGGGGCAGATGTGCTGGGTCTGGCGGGCACTGGCCGAGCTGTGCGTAATGCCTCAGGGCCCCGCGCTGCCAGCCGGCCGTGCTGAGCTGCCTCCATCACCAAACTGGTGGTATTTTCAAGCTGAGTTTCATAATGAAGCCAGCCAGCGAGCTCCCCCAGCTCATCCGGAGCGGGGTTAGAGGAGCAAAAGGTGCAGCCAGCAGTGAGGAGGGGGATGGCAGGGCTGGACCGCGCCAGGCCAGGCTGCCCAGGAAAATCCCGGGCCAGCAGGTGGTGCTGCGGGCACGGGCATGGCGCGGAGCCGGGGCAACGCTGGAGCTGGGAGGCCGGGAGGATGGAGGCGCTGGGTGGGGGCTTCAGCACAGGGGATGCAGGTGAGGCGCGAGGCAGCAGCTCCCACTGCTCTCCCCTGGGACCTGCTGGGATGAACAGGCCAACGCTTTGTGGCAGAGGGGCTGTGAGCTGCCTCCCAGCAGCCCAGGGGCTTTCCTGCTCTGCTCAGCCCCAGACCAGCACCCTGGGGCCCAGCACTGCTCGGACGTGGGCTGTGCACAGGTGACAATGGCCTGGCCCCTGATGGGGGCAGAGGCTGGTGCCAGAACTTGTTCCAGTCCCTTAGTGGGCCCTGGAAGCTAGGCTCCCCTGCTGCTGCTGCACGCCATCCCCAGCCTGCGGCTGTCTCAAGGACTTGGGCCCCAGGGGAGGCCCCTTGTACCAGAACAACAGCCTTGGCTCTTTACGGCTGAGCCTGCGTCTCTGGTGCTGCCCCAGCGCCTGTGGGAGATCGGGCGTGCACAGCTGAACGCGCGCATCCTGGCACTGCAGGTTTTGCAGCTGTGAGTTGCTCTGATGAAGCTGAGCATAACTATAGCCGGAGCCGGAGCGACTGCTTCCCCCCTTCACTGCCACTTGCCACCCCAATCAAGTGCCCAGATGCAGAAACACTATTAAGGACCCCTGGCTCCGAGGGCTGCATAAAACGGCTGCATCCAGCCCACAGGTTTTAGGTTGTCAGAGCCTGAGCTTGGGAACTCACTCAAAGGGAGCTGTACAAGCACATAGCAAGCACCGTATGCATTCATAGGCAGACAAGGGTCTTTGGGTAAATCCCATATCTTGTATTAGACCAACTCATATAGTTGGAAAAATTATTCTTTGCAAGCTTTCAGGTACAAATACCCTTCATCAGGCTGAGGAAGTGTCTGCAGATGGCCTGTGCTCTTCCCGGATGGAGTGGTAAAGCAGCCAGAGGCCAGTACGT